TGAACATTTTTTTTCATATGCCTGTTGACAATTTCATGTCTTCTTTTGAGGAATGTCTGTTAAGAGTCTTTTGCCTATTTTAAAAATGAATTTTTTTTTCTGCTGTTAAGATCCTGATATATTTTGGATATTAATCCTTTGTCAGATGTATAGTTTGCAAATGTTTTCTCCCATTTTGTAGGTTGTGCCTTCACTCTGTTAACAGTTTTCTTTGCTGTGCAAAAGCTTTTTAGTTAGTTGCAGTCCCATTTGTCTATTTTTGCTTTTGCTGCCTGTACAAATGTCTTATTTTAAATATCCTTGCCCAGCCCAATGTCATGAAGGTTTCCCTTATGTTTTCTTCTAGTAGTTTCATAGTTTTGGGTTTTACATCTAAATCTTTAATCCATTTTGAATTGATTTTTGTAAATGGTGATAGGTAGGGGGTCTAGTCTCATCCTTCTGCATATGGATATCCAATTTTCCCAGCAGTATTCATTGAAAAGACTGCCTTTTCCCCAATGTGTGTTCTCAGCTTTGTTGAAATTAGGTTGGCTGTTGGTGTGTAAATTTATTTCTGGGCTTTCTATTCTGATCCATTGGTCTATGTGTCTGTATTTATGCCACTACCATTCTGATTTTGTTACTACAGTTTTGTAGTATAAGTCAGGTACTGTGATGCCTCCAGCTTTGTTCTTCATGCTCAGGATTGTTTGGGCTATGCAGGGTCTTTTGTGAGTCCATATAAATTTTATGATTGTTTTTTCTACTTTCATTAAGAATGTTATTGTTATTTTGAAAGGGATTACATTAATTGTATAGATTGCTTTGTGTAGTATGGCCATTTTTATAATGTTGAAGTCCCCTATTATCACTGTATTACAGTGTATCTCTCCATTTAGGTGTAATAATATTTGCTTTATAAATTTGGGTGTTCCATTATTGGATAGTATAACAATTGTAAACATACCTACTTACAACTGTTATATCTTCTGTTGAATTGATTCCTTTTTCATTATCATCTTTCTATAACAAACTTGTCTCTTTTTACACGTTGTTTTTGTTGTTGTTGTTGTTGTTTTTTGAGACAGGATTTGGGTCTGTCACCCATGCTGAAGCACTGTGATATGGTCTTGACTCACTGTAACCTCTGCCTCCTGAGCTCAAGCCATCCTCAACTTCATCTGAAGTCAGCTTCAGCTTCCCAAGTGCCTGAGACTACAAATGCTTGCCACCACACTTGGCTAATTCTTTTGTATTTTTTGTAGAGACTAGGTTTTACCACGTTGCCCAGGCTGGTGTCAAACTCCTGAACTCAAGCAATCTGCCTGCCTTGGCCCTCAAAGTGTTGGGATTACAAGCATGAGCCACCATGCCTGGCCTCTTTTTACAGTTTTTGACTTAATGTCTATTTTATCTGATGTAAATATGGCTACTCCTGCTTGCCTCTGGTTTCCATTTGCATAGAATATCTTTTTCCATTTCTTCACTTTCAGTCTATGTTTCTGTCTTTAACGATGAGGTGAGTCTACTAGACTAGAGAGTACATAGTCGAGTCTTGTTTAAGTCTTGTTTACTTAGCCACTATATCTTTTAATTTGAGAATGTAATCCATTAACATTCAAAAGCTGTTATTGATAGATAATAACTTACTCCTGACAAAAATGTCAGTTGCTTTTGGTAGTTTTGTAGATTGTTTCTTTATTCCTCCTTTTGTTGTTTACTTCTGTGATTTGGTGGTTTTCTGTGGTTTCTCTTTCTTATTTGCATATCTGCTGTCATTTATTTATTTGTGGTTACCATGGGGATAATATGAGTCTTGTAAGCATAATAGACAATTTTAAGCTGATAGCAACTTAACTTTGGCTGCATAAAAGTATTCATGCCCCCTTCCCCTCCCACAGTTAATATTTTTGTTGCCTTAATTGACTTGTTTATCTATGATGTGTTCCTCAGTCACTAATTGTAGTTTTTTTTTTAACCATTTGACTTTAAATCTTCATACTAGAAGACTGAGAGTTTTAGATAGCACCATTATATCCCTGAGTATTTTTAGACTGATTTATGAAATTACCTCTATATTTTAATGTGTTTTTAATAACAGTAATTATCATCCTTTTGTTTCTTATTGTAGCACTCCTTTAAGCATTTCTTGTAAGGCTGGTCTTCTTCATTTCTGAGGGATAACTTTGTAGGACATATATTCTTGGTTGACAGTATTTTTTTCTTTCAGCACTTTGAATATGTCATATCATTGTTTCCTGGTAAGGTTTCTGCTGAGAAGTATGCTGATAGTCTGATAGGAATTCTCTTATATGTGACTTGACACGTTTCTCTTGTGGCTTTTATAATTTTCTCTGTCTTTGACTTTTGACAGTTTGATTATAACATTCCTTAGAGAATCTTTTTGGGTTGACCTTTGGGCTTCCTGAATCCGGATGTTCATATCTCTTAAAATATTTGAGAAGTTTTCAGCTATTATTTCATTAAATTGGTTTTCTGTGACTTTCTTTATCTCTTCTCATTTGGTATTTCTATAATGTGACTATCTGTTGACTGAATGGTGTCCTATAGGGTTTCTTCATTCCTTTTTGTTCTTGGTTTTTTTTTTTTTCTCTCTCTCTGACTGGGTTATTTTAAAATAGCTATCTTAAAGTTCAGAATTCTTTCTTCTGTGTGATTTAGTCTGTTGATGAAGCACTTCATTGTATTATTTTATTTTATTCATTGAATTTTTTAGTTTCACAATATCTCTTTGGTTCTTTTATTGATATCTCTTTGTGGATTTTTTTTTTTCATTCAGATCATGAATTGTATCCTGATTTCATTGAATTGTTTGTCTGTGTTCTCTTGTATCTCACTGAGTTTCCTTAAGGTCAATACTTTAAAAATTTATTTTCAGGCATCTTCTAAATGCCCCATTCTTTGAGACCTCTTACTGGACATTTATTGTGGTGTCATATTCTCTTACTTTTTCATGTTTCTTGTATCCCTACATTGATATCAGCACATCTAGTAAAATAGTCACTGTTTCTAATTTTATGGAGTAGCTTTAGTAGGGAGAGCCTTTTTTCTGTAGTGGTTCTACAGTGTTGGTTGAGCATGGTGCATTGGTTTTGGTTATGGGTGAACTCAGTAGTATGATCTCTGTTTAAGCTGAAATCCTCACTGATGTCAGCAATTATCTCAGAGACCTAGGTTGTAGGAGCTTGTGATAGTGGTGTGGTTTTGTTGGAAGTGGAGGTACCAGGATGGTTGTCTAGCTCAATGCATGCAGGTGCAGAGGGCTGACAGGCTGTTTGGTGAACAGTCTGAGGAGACAGTGACCACTACTGGCCTGGCTGTCAAGCTAGGCTCAGGTATGGCTGCTTGTGTGGTGGTATAACTGTCTGGGGAGGCAGGGCCACCACCAGACCAGCTGTTGGGCTGGGCACAGGCTCACCAAGCACAACAATGCTGGGTGGCCCCGCAGTGGTTTGCCTGGGGAAGCAGGTCTGCCACTGGACTGGCTGTGGCATAGTGGAGCCAGATGGCTTTGTAGCAGTCTGTTTTATAAAAGTGGGCTACTGCAGGTCTGGCTGTCAGGCTGGGTGCAGGTGTGCGCAGGTGCAGTGGGACCTGGGACCAGGTAGCTCTGTGGTAGTCTGTCTGTGGGAGTAAAACCATTGCAGGATTGGTTATCAGGTTGAACATTGGTATGCATGGGCTCAGCACGCCAGACACTCTGTAGCATGAGTAGATGTGGCCAAGGCAGTTTCACTGCTATGTAGGTTCTCCTGTTCCCTGGAGAATGAGTGCCATGTGGATTTTAATGCCAGGTCTCAGTCACTCCATCTGGCCTAAGCTCTGGGCAGCCATGATAATGGTGCTGGAGGCACATGTGTAAATGTGGTAGTATGGCAGTGGGCATCAGGATAGAAAACATCAGTTGCTATTGATCCTGAGGGGACACACTCTAGTAGTACAACCTCTGTCTCCCAATTCAAGCATTTCTCATGCCTCAGCCTCCCAAGTAGCTGGGATTACAGACGTGCATCACTACGCAGAGCTAATTTTTTTTTATTTTTATTCGAGACAGGGTTTCACCATGTTGGTCAGGCTGGTCTCGAACTCCTGTCCTCAAGTGATCTGTCCACCTCAGCCTCCCAAAGTGCTGGGATTACAGGCATGAGCCACTGCACCAGGCCTGCTATTGATTTCTAATTTAATTCTCTTGTGGTCAGAATATATTCTCTGGCCACAGGGAATTAAAAAGGGATATTACTGCAGTTCTTTTGAATGTATAGAGATTTTTTTAATGACCAACATATACTCTATCTTGGTGGATGTTCCATGTATACCTGAAAAAAAATATGTATTCTATAATTGTTGGGCATAGTGTTCTACAAATAATAATTAGGTCAACTTGGTTGATGCTATTGTTCAAATACTACATTGTGGTGCATTTTATGTCTATTTATCATATTAATTACTGAAAGGAACCCTTATTTTTTTCCTTATAATAACTTTGTGTGGGAGATAGCCCTGATACTTTCTATTGCTCCATTTTAGGTGAAATTCCGTTTCCTGAGCTTTTAAAATAAAGCTGCTTTCGAGAAAGTGCTTTTTAGCTTTATGAAGCTCCCTCTTCTGTTGTTTTGTGTGGTATTAAAAATACGGAAGCTTGCTTTCTAGGGTTCCTTGACTCTTATTCCTTCATTCACTTTGGTCTAGACCTTCTCTTTGCATCACTGTTATTGTTCCTTCCTGGTCAATTTTGATGCCACCAACTCCTTCTGAGCTTCTCTCAAGTTTCTCATCTACCCAGTGAGCTACCACATTAACTCTTTCAGCTCATTTAGCTGCCAGAGCTGAAGAACCCAGCAGAAGGCAGATCTTCTCTCCAGCCTAGAACTCAGTCCTAGAGAGGACAGGAAGGTCCCCTGGCTCATGAGCTTCCTGCTCAGGAGTTTCTGGAGATAGGGCTTCACTCCTTCTGGAAATGGCATTTTCACATCGAGTCCTATGTTCTCTCCCTGCAGGTTTCCCCCAGGAAGCCATGGGCATGCCCATCCTTTATGCTGGGCTTCTGGAAGACTCTCCTCTGGAGCTCTACCTGCTACAAATCTTCAGACTCTGTTATCCAAAGCCCAGAGACTGCTGGCTATTATGGGCTTGTGGTCCTACCACCCATTTTTTATACCAGGAGAGTCAGCCTTGCAATCCTAAGACCTGAAGCAGGAGCCTGAAGACCCAGGGGTCTAACAGGGGTCTTTCAATGGCACTGGGAGAGAGATGTCAAGAACCTCACTTCTGCTTTGTTCCAATTCTAAGAACTTGAAAAGAAAGCCAGAGCAGATAATTAATGTTTAACATTTTAATATATTTGAGATACTAATGGATCCCTTCGAGGATTCATAAAAGGCAGGAACTCTTATTTTAGTAACACGCATACAAGTGTGCACCCACACACACCTTTATATACAATTTTTGTGCATTCATAGCTTCAGTTTAGTGATTCTTCTGTGACCTCACACTGCCTTCCATAGGTTGCAGAAGTGTAGGGATGTAGGTTTGTTGATCCGATTTTAAGTAGATGATATCCTAGGTGGTTGGTAAGTCTTACTAAATTATACACGTAGACACGCTACATACATGTATTTAAAAGTCTTATCTTTGGGGAATATTTAAAACAACTAAAATGGTAAAATCATTCCATTGTAGAAACCAACAGTTGCCAGCAATTATTTGCAAATCTGTGCAGGTCCGAGATTTACTCTGGACAGCCGAGAAACCTGGTGAACTTTGATCTTCTTTTGCCATGGAGACTGAGGACATTAAACAAGGGAGTTTACTCTGGGGGCAGTAGAAAGATCCGTGATCAGTTTACTTTGGCTCCAGGAGCACTGGACTCTGCTCAGCTGAACCAGCCACCTCTCACGGGCCCATCTAAAGGTCTTGAGACATGACCTGTCTTGGTGAAAGAGCAATGGGAAGTACAATCCCTAAATAATGTTGGAAGAAATTGTGAATAACACTTTTCAAGAAAGTATGCCACAGGACAGTGGGGACAGCTCAGGCGATTGAGTCCACAGTCCTAGCTTCTAGCTTTCCATCTTGCTGGACAGCCTACCAGTTATAGTCTGTCTTCCAGCTAAGCTCAGTTTTTGTCTCTGTAAAATCAGATCTCTCTACTAAACGGTCTTTCAGGGTGTGTTTTGCCAAAGGGCCCAGTAGCAATGGAGGGAGACATAAAGCAATCAGAGCCATTGCATTAGTTCACTGAGTGTCTATTTGGTATGTAGCCCATGTTGGGTGTTCTGTAATAATGATAGTTGTCATCACCATCTATTGATGTCATTACCATCTATTGGTCAGACAGGGCAAGTACTCTAACAGAAATGTGAGTAATCTTCAGAATGATAAGGTAGACATTTGCACTCCTATTACTAATGAGAAACAGAAGCTCATTTGTACTCCTATTACTAACGAGAAACAGAAGCTCAGAGTAGATCAGTAACTTGTCCAGTATGATGCAGCTATTAAGTGGTCTAACATCCAAACCCAGAAGTCTTTGACTCCAATGCCAAGCCCATTTTATTGTTCCACAGATTGCACATGACAATATGTAGTGAATGAATACACAGGTGATTATTAATAGAAGGCGGGCACAAGGAACTGGCATACAAAGAAAAAGTGCTGCTCTGTTCTCTGTGATAGATTGCCTAGGGCTTAGTGGTCAGCATCCTTGCAGGGTCCTTGATGTAGTGAGACCTGAGGGGCTGAACGCAGGAGCTGTTGGTCAGCATATAAATAAAAATTAGATGAAAAATGCTAAGGTGCTGGATACTGTACTAGGTGATTTGCAGTAATTACTAATTTAGATCTCACAGTAACTCTATGAGGCAGGTGTGTTTTGCCAAAGGGGAACTGGGGCACTGAAAGCTTAGGTGACTTGCCTAATTCACAGTCCATCCTGAAAGTCTTAGTGTATAGAGGTGAATGACCAAGCCATGCCACTGTAGTTTTAGTGGTGTCTTCAGTCAGGGAGAACCAGGTCCACGACCTTCTCTTGTCCTAATCTGTGCAGTTATGATCCTCTCCTGTGTTTACCGAACGCCACTTCTACCAATGCTATGTTCCTGCCTTGCAGTGTGAAGATTATTTCCAAATTCAGTTCTGGGAATATATTCCACTTCTGGGGGCAAATTCATCTATCAGAGTTTCTTCTTTTATTTTAAAATCCAAATTCTTGGACACCTGTTGTCCCAGCCCACTTTATGCCATGCTCTCAAAATTTCACAGCCTTTCTTTCCACTCTCAAGCATCTACTTTGCCACCTGGGAGAGGGGCCTTTGGAGGAAGGGACTGAAGCAGCTCCTGTGACACATGCTGCCTATTTCACAGTTTGGGCTGACATCATTCCTTCGTGGGGCTCAAACCTCATGTGTCCCCATCCCTGACTGCTAACCTCCTTCCCATCTTTGCCAGGCCTGTCTAGGTGTCCTGCAAAAAGTGTGTCAGGGAAGGCTAGCATTCCTAAATGCCTTTGGTCAGGGACCTTTGTTCCTTTACACACGAGAGTTCTCTGAGTGCACTCGGCTCCAGGGTCAGTGGCCTCTAGAGAGGTCAAGTGGAACTGGGTGAGGTTGAAACTATAGTGATGAGAAAAGGGATTTCTCAGCAGGGTATATCTCTGTCTTAAAATGAGGACAGGCAGCTCCTATTCTCTCCCAGTTGTAGAAGAATGCCTGAGTTGAGGAATAGGAGCCTGTGGCTTTGTAACATTGAACAATGTTGAATATCTCTGCTCTGTGATTCCTCCAAAAAAAGATGTCTTCTGAAGACAGTTTATGTGGTCAACAAACACATGGAAAAAAAGCTCATTATCACTGGTCAATACAGAAATGCAAATCAAAACCATAATGAGATACCATCTCACGCCAGTTAGAATGGTGATCATTAAAAAATCAGGAAACAACAGATGCCAGAGAGGATGTGGAGAATTAGGAATGCTTTTACACTGATGGTGGGAGTATAAATTAGTTCAATCACTGTGGAAGACAATGTGGTGATTCCTCGAGATTCTAAAACCAGAAATACCATTTGACCCCAGCAATCCCATTACTGAGTGTATACCCAAAGGATTATAAATCATTCTACTATAAAGACACATGCACACATATGTTTACTGCAGCACTATTCACAATAGCGAAGACTTGGAACCAACCCAAATGCCCATCAATGATAGACTGGATAAAGAAAATATGGCACATATACACTATGGAATACTATGCAGCCATAAGAAAGGATGAGTTTGCAGGATTGCAGCTCCCAGTGAAAGTGTGGAGGGTGAGTGGACATTGCATTTCCAGATGGATTTTTATTGCCCACAGACCATGAGATTCCCAGGCGGAGGAGCCCCCGGGTCACCAGCAGTGGCTGTTTTGGCCAGTGTGGCAGGTCTCTGCACCAAATACATGGATCTGAGCGCCATTTTAGCTGGCAATTGGAGCTCCTGGGAGACAGAGTTGCCCGTTCAGCTGATAAAAAGGGGACTGAAACAGGGAGCCAGGCCAGGAGATTCCCGGGCAAAAAAGTGCCAAGAATCTCCATGTGGCTGTTTCAGCTGGCACACTGGGTCACTGCACAGGAAATCACACAGATCCTGGCACCTTTTCAACAGGTGACTGGAATACCTGGGAGACAGAGTTACCCGTTCAACTAAAAAAAAAAAAGGGGGGGGGTCTGAGGCAGGGAGCCACGTGATCAGGCTCAGTTGGTCCCACTCCCACAATAAAACAGCAATCTGAAATGCTCTGGATTGAGAGTTTCACAGCAGGCATAGCTGAACCTGGGATGGTCCAGCTCTGTGAGGGAGGGGCATCTACCATTACCAAGGTAGTCCACCACTACGGAGGTAGTTCGCCATTGCCAAGGCAGCCTGCCATTACAGAGAGAGTCTGCCATCACAGAGGTGGGATGCCATTGCTGAGGAGGTTCTAACTATACCTGTATAAATAGCACTGCAGGGAAGTGCTGTACATGGAAGCTGGGCAGACCCCACAGCAGCTCAGCAAAGCCTCTGCAGGCAGATTGTGACTAGGCTGCCTCCTTGCTAGGCAGGGCAGCCCTGAAAAAAGGCAGCAGCATGACAGAAACTTATAAATTAAGCCCTAACTCCCCAGGAGAGAGCACCTGGGGGGAAAAAGGTATCTATGAGTTCTGCAGCAGACTTAAACGTACCTGCCCAGCAGCTCTGAATGAACAACAGAGCTCACAGCTCAGCACTTGAGCTCCTACAAAGGACACACTGTTGCCTCAAGCAGCTCTCTGACCCCTGTATATCCAAAGAGTCACCTCATAAAGGAGAGCTCAGACTGATATCTGGCGGATATCATTCTGGGAACAAAGATAGCAGCAGCAGAAACTGGCAGCAACCCTTACTGTTCTGCAGCTGCTGGCACGTGATACCCAGGCAAACAGGGCCTGGAGTAGACCCCAGCAGTCCTACAGCAGAGGGGCCTGAATGTTAGAAGGAAAACTAAGAAACAGAAAGAAATAACTTCATCATCAACAAACTGTATATCCACTCAGAGACCCAATCTGAAAGTCAACAACTACAAAGACAACAGTTGGATAAATCCACAAAGATGGAAAGAAACCAGCACAAAAAGGATGAAAACACCCGAAACCAGAACACCTCTCCTCCTAAAAGGGATCACAACTCCTCACCAGCAAGGGAACAAAGCTGGATGGAGGATGAGTGTGATGAATTGACAGGAAAAGGCTTCAGAAAATGGGTAATAAGAAACTTCTCTGGGCTAAAAGAACATGTTCTAACCCAATGCAAAGAAACTAAGAGCCTTGAAAAAAGATTTGACGAAATGCTAATGAGAATAAACAGCTTAGAGAGGAATATAAGTGAATTGATGGAGCTGAAAAACACAAGAGAACTTCACAAAGCATACACAAGTTTCAACAGCCGAATGGACCAAGCAGAAGAAAGGATATCAGAGGTCAAAGATCAACTCAATGAAATAAAACGAGAAGGCAAGAAGAGAAAACATTATTTAAGGATTGTACTTCCCATTGCTCTTTCACCAAGACAGGTTAAGTCCCAAGACCTTTAGATGGGCCAGTGAGAGGTAGCTGGTTAAGCTGAGCAGAGTCCAGTACTCCTGGAGCCAAAGTAAACTGATCACGGATCTTTCTCCTATTCAATGTAGTATTGGAAGTTCTAGCCAGAGAAATCAGGCAAGAAAAAGAAATAAAGGGTATTCAAATAGGAAAAGAGGAAGTCAAATTGTCTCTATTTGCAGACGACATAATTGTATATTTAGAAGAACCCATTATCTCAGCCCAAAATCTCCTGAAACTGATAAGCAACTTCAGCAAAGTCTTGGGACACAAAATCAATCTGCAAAAATCACAAGCATTCCTATACATCAATAACAGACTTAAGAGAGCCAAATCAAGAATGAACTGCCATTCATAATTGCTACAAAGAGAATAAAATACCTAGGAATACAACTAACAAGGAACATAAAGGACCTCTTCAAGGAGAACTACAAACCACTGCTCAATGAAATAAGAGACGACACAAACAGATGGAGAAACATTCCATGCTCATTGTTAGGAAGAATCAATATCGTGAAAATGGCCATACTGCCCAAAGTAATTTACAGATTCAACACTATACCCATCAAGCTACCAATGACCTTCTTCACATAACTGGAAAAAAACACCTTAAACTTCATATGGAACGAAAAGAGAGCCCACATAGCCAAGTCAATTCTAAGCAAAAAGAACAAAGCTGGAGGCATCACACTACTGGACTTCAAACTATACTACAAGGCTACAGTAATCAAAACAGCATGGTACTGTTACCAAAACAGAGATATAGACCAATGGAACAGAACAGAGGCCTCAGAGGCAACACCACATATCCACAACCATCCAATCTCTGACAAACCTGACAAAAGCAAGCAATGGGGAAAGGATTGCAGCACTGTTTACAATAGCAAAGACTTGGAACCAACACAAATGCCCATCGATGATAGACTGGACAGGGAAAATGTGGTACATATACACCATGGAATACTATGTAGCATAAAAAATGATGAGTTCGTGTCCTTTGTAGGGACATGGATGAACCTGGAAACCATCATTCTCAGCAAACTGACACAAGAACAGAAAATCAAATACCGCATGTTCTCACTCATAGGCGGGTGTTGGACAATGAGAACACATAGACACAGGGAGGGGAGCATCACACACTGGGGTCTGTTGGGGGAAAATAGAGGAGGGACAGTGGTGGGTGGGGAGTTGGGGAGAGATAGCATGGGGAGAAATCCCAGATATAGGTGATGGGGAGGAAGGCAGCAAATCACACTGCCATATGTGTACCTATGCAACAATCTTGCATGTCCTTCACATGTACCCCAAAACCTAAAATGGAATTAAAAAAAAAGAAAGAATGAGTTCATGTCCTTTGCAGGGACATGGATGAAGCTGGAAACCATCATTCTTAGCAAACTAACACAGGAACAGAAAGCCAAACACCCCATGTTCTCACTCATAAGTGGAAGTTGAACAGTGAGAACACATGGACACAGAGAAGGCAAAACCACACACCGGGGCCTGTTGTGGGTTGAGGGCTAGGGGAGGGACAGCATTAGGAGAAATACTAAGGTAGATGATGGGTTGACGGGTGCAGCAAACCGTAATGGCACATGCATACCTATGTAACAAACCTGCACATTCTGCCCACGTATCCCAGAACTTAAAGTATATATATATATACACACACACACATACACACACACTCTATATATACCTGTATATACTACATATACTTAAAGTGTATATATATATATAAAGTGTACATATATATAAAGAAATAATTGCGGATTTTGATAGTTGAAATAACAGCATTAAGGGCCAGAT